GTCGTCACCATGCGCATGCGTCAGATGGCCATAGCGTGTCATTTTTTTTCAAACAAGCATTGCATATGAGCCTTTGCGTTTTTAGCGTGTGTTGTTATCGTCGTTTGGGACTCAATCCCCGCACGTGCGCAGGTGACGACCCTCCCGCTTTTAAGGCCCCACCATCCCGAACTTTAGCACTCCAGCCCCAGTGTAATTATATGCCACCAGATCAATGTACATACATGCATCAGTGAATGAAGCAGGGTTAAGATTAGAGTTATGAATGTGAAAACAATATTTTATGTTATGAGGTTTTACACGACCAACGAGTACAGTGTCATATTACCATATCTGGTGGGATGTCCAAGTCATGACATTGTAGATATTGCTTCATACTCTCTATGCTTTCTCCACATACGACGAAGTGGATTCGGATTTTCTCGGGAACTCCGGTATTACGTAGCAAGGAATTGATGACCACCGGTGCACCTGGGAACAAAGATCGCATTACAGATGGTTATACCACTCTCGGTCATCTTTTCATTCTGTAAACAGCGGCGAAGGTTATTAGTAACTTTGAAGGAGAACAGTCCACTATACAGTGGATATACTTCCTTTGATCATTGTCAAATTTATAATGAGTAATGACAATTCGCCCTCAACTGAAAAGATGGCCAACCATAACTAGTTGTGATTAACGACTAATACCACGACAACCCAACGAACGAAAATGTGAAATAATTGCCCGAAATACCATACACATTTGAATGAACACAAAAAAAGTTCTACTCAGTGCTTAGTCATATTCATCACGTCTTCATTTGTTTTACAGTAGGTATTGCATTTCATTTCACATTTCAAGTGTTCTAGCTTATTCCATGAACGATATAGAGATTGCGTTGTGAAACTGTAAGCAATGCGCGCCCACTGTCGAGATGGAAAAGCTACCTCATTATGCAAATTAGAATCAGCGATGCTGTTATCTGCTAATCACTGTTTGTCGAAAAAAGTCCGAAAAACACCAATGATAATTTTGTGCAGGGATTTTTATCAGAAGAGTACCTATTTAATACATTAGCGGGTTAAAACCGCGCGATTTGATGATATCCAGATTTTGTTGAAAACCCAGTTACAAAACTTCTCTTTAAATTGTTTTTGATATTTTCAAATTATAACATATCGAATTTAACATATGTATATGAAAGTACTTTAGTTACTGTGGTCAGTGTCAGTGGCCCTGAATTTTCACTTTTATTGTTGGTAAATTAAAAAATGCGAGACACATACCGAAACTTTGTAGAACGTTGATTACTACTACGTATGCATGAATCTAAATGTTAATTAAATATTTAAATTCAATAAATTTTGAACAGGTGAGATTACCGTTAAACTATGGTTGCAAAGAAGTCGTGGTTTCCAGCGAGGGACTCATGAGTTATACGTCAACGGTCATATTAATCCTCTCACATCACCAGGGACAAGGTGAACAAATCGATGTCGGATAAAACCCAAAATTCCTGTAGTTTTTCGGAGGTGGCCCTAAACAGTTTTCATCCAACAAAAGCGAATTTATTTTTAACGAGTGCGTGTTCATAAGAAGCTGTAAAATTATAAAGTTGTTTGTATCATGATTTATATTTCAGCTTAGTAGTGATTGCCATGACATCTACTGATAAAGGTTAAATTACTGATAAATGTTAATGATGAGGCCAGATGGCAAAACTAGTTGAGATCAGCCGACACATCTCATGAGTTTGCAATTTTAAGATTATGCGGTACGGTGGTCGTAACCCAAAACTAATGATGTTTGCGATTTTAAACTTATGCGGTGTCTTTGTGGAATGTTATTGCAAGACTATTAAAACCCATAAATATAAACTGACGTTGACAATATGATAGTGGTTTTCTTAATATAGTGACGATTAATCAATTGATTATGATGTGTAAAACTTTCATGTGATTGGCTGTTTGTTTGAAGGCAAGGCCTTAAAGTCTATTATACTGTCTTGTAATTGGCTAATTGGTTGACAAGTAATAAAAAGTGATTTTAAGCTGTCTCGGGTGAAAGCTGGGGACAAGCGGAGAATCGAATGGACATGAACGGAGCTTGTGTGTGTTTTTTGTGAGTCTAGCGTGGGGAACAATCGAATCCCGGTTACCTAAGTGAAAGGTTTCCAAACATTAAAAATACCTATCACATTTACATAAAAAAAATATTGTTTATCTTAATATTTGACACGCCCACACTGATTAAATGATAAACCAATCATGAAATCTGTTTATTTTGATGAATATACAAGGTCTTGCACCATTCATGAGAAAAAAGGTCAAATTCAAGCCGATGAACAATATAAAATTGAAAATATTGTACACTGTGGAAGGATTATACAACGATTATTTATGCTAAGCGTCATGGTCATGGCCTTGGCCTAATGTATTCATCAACATTTATGGTAAGCATTGTCCCTTTCACATTGCCATGGAACAACACTTGATTGCTGTGCGAAGCCCAGCTGTCACGCCATATACCGATGGCAGAGTCTGGAGTTCGTCCATATACTCACCAGCAAAATTTTTCAGATCAGTAGCCATTATAATATGTATGTTGTTATCAGGTACACGATGCTGATGAGTCTGGTAGAGTGTGGCAGAATCTGGCGAATCATTCTGTTCAGATGAAGAGTTTTTCAGGTCCATTGTAGTTTGCAGGTGGTTGTAAACACCGACATACATCATTACGGCGAACGTGGACATGTAAATACAGGTGGTTACAAGTAACTTACGGCGCATGGCGGTTTGTAGATATCAACATCCCGTTCCTAGTTGTTGTCTTTCAATCTAATCTCGCAATTCGTATTGCAGCTAACGCATGTAAATTCAAGGCGTATCACGGCCCGTTAACAAGCATGCTACACCGCGACGTACCTCCCAGTGCAATGATTGAAATCCTCGCGTTACTTTGAATCGAAAAAGACACACACAACCACTACACAGTGCGCCGTTCTGCAGGTCTGTCATATAAACAATTATTCACATCATATATAACTATACCCATCGAGATTTCAGTCTTGTACAGGCGAGAAAACGGTTCGTATTGCTGCTGATCTGTATTAACGAGTTCCGGATTCGGCAGCTGTTGCCACCGAACACCAATGCAACATGTGTGGCCATCACATAACCTTCTGTATTGCGGGACGGTGTTTAATACCATTCTACACCATTCAGACGATCAGTATTAATGTCATTTTGTTACTCATCTGATTATATAATGTAATAGAGAAATAGTATTTGCTCTGTATTTTACACTTAACAGAGAATATTTCGGATTGAGTCGCATCCTGGGTATTTGCTATTTAGGTAAATCAGTGTCACCACGTGGTACAGTTGTGGGTTTGATTAAAACGATTAGCATAATAAAAGACTCACTATTTTTTATTCATTCATACTAATTTAACATAAATTCTACATTTTATTAAATAATAACTGGTACACCACGCTTTTTTGAAATTTTACCAGTAAAAAACCACAGTTGACGTGCAACACGCATTTGTAGTTTACGGATGTTGTATACGTGGACAAATATCGAACACGACGTGGAAAGACAGTTGTGGCGCTTCAGTGTAAACACGCTATGATGTATATAAATTATTTTTGTGAAAATGTTCAACTAAAAAACGAATACAATTGGTGGAAAACATATTATACAATTACTACATTAGAAATTACGTTCTTTAATCAAGTGTATCGTGGATCTAAGAGCGCACGGGGGGGGGGGGGCTGACCAACCACAATATAATCTATATAATTATATCTAACACCGGTCTTACAGCATTATTTAAATATCCAACCCACGTAATAAAAATGAAACCCGAAAACCCTCCCTTATTTCCAATGTTGCAATAAGAAAATTCGTGGTTTCGTTGGAAATACTATAGCCGACATTTTCAGGATTTATTAAGGAATATACATGTACATTATTTCACGATTTTGTTTGTGGTCTAATACCAATTTTGTATTGACATTGTGTCCCAGTTCTTCCATTTTCACAGGCACACTTCCAAGCTTTGTCCTCGCGAAACGTTTCTATGCACCGTCCTTTCATTGAACATTCTAATGGCAAATATCTTTCCCAGTAGGCTCTGTTTGCGCCGTCTTCTAGCCAAGGCTTGTCTTGAAAAGAGAAATGTAGGTATGGTTATGACAGATAGCATCTTGAATAACATTTTCAATAATGAGTGTGCCCAAATATTTTAATTTGAATTCAAAACCTCAGTGTTGTTCCGTTATATTGCATGTTCTAAGCAGCGTTGAATGCAATCTGTCGTGTTTTGCATGCACGCATGCGCATACTTCACTTGGTTATGTATCGTCTGCTACATTACAATAATAAAATTACAGCATAGGATTTGACATGGAGTCTCGCGCAGCAGACGACACCCATACAATGAATACTTTGCGTGGGGACATTGATGCACAAGCAGGCAAGCTTTTATTTTACTGAGATGATGATCATGGAGCACCATTAATCATTGCATGAATATATTTACAAGTCGCTGAGTTTACATCTCTTTGTTGAAGATTTACCGCCATTATGTCAGCGTACCCAAAGTCGCTATACGACGATGATGCATACAATACTCTTTGGGAAAAAAAATAGTTTCTTCAGTATCTTCTATTTTTTATAGGGGGTTTACTTCTAATTTCCGAATTGAAATGACGGTAACAGAACGTATTGATCGAAATTCGCGACACGGTCGAGACGAGGGGGCATGGAAATCAGGATTTTGAAGTTCTCTTTAAAGTTCTACCTAACAAGCCTGGGACAATTTCTATCGATATCGCTCGTACAAATATCTGCTCAGCTGAGATCTCCGTTAAAGGGATCAATTTACCCTAAACTGAAAAGCGTTGGTGCAATAACTTCATGTACTTCAATAAGCGACTTCACCGCGTCGTCCACGTCCAGGTATGTAATATAATATTTAGTAACATAATGTTTAGACACATCAGTAATAACATAATTAATATTATACTCACGTGTTCCAACCCAGTGCAATACCCCTGCTGTTTTTGCGATGTCTTCATCGATAGGTTTTCGTAGCCCCACAGCCTTCACGTTCCATTTTTCGTCCATAGTTTGCCACAGACCATGATAGATTATTTGCATAATTGATTGACTTTCATAACGGTAAAGTGGTGGGTCCGACATGTCGTTCTATAGCAAAAGTAAAACCAGAGAGAGAAAATGGTGTAACCTAGTATGGACACAAAACCACTAGTAAAATTACCATAGGCGACAGCGTTAATGTTTGGTGTAATTGCGTAATTGTAATTGATAAGACCGTGATACTTCCTAGCAGTCCCGGGGAGAGACCTACTGTCGACACAATGAACCGACTCTCTTGATTCATATGTTATTATAAATATACATTAATTTCAAACTGAATTGGCTGATAGAATAACATTAGGACATTTTCGAATAACGTTATTGCGCATTGCACATATTGAGTGATTGGTTGGTAATAGGTGGGTTGTATCGGCAGCACAATCTTGATAATATGTCACGGTGTTTACAAATATCATATAACCAACCTCTTTAAGCCAGAATTCGACGTCGTCAATAAGATTATATTTTCTATAAAACTCTAAATCAAGGACGAACACTCCGCCATTGAAGAGTGAAGCCGAAGAGTTGAACATTCGCCCATATCTGTGGAATAACATATAAACGACAGTTTTAATCCTGCTAGAATTGTGGCTATAATAAATAGCTGACCACTCGTTTTATTGATTGGGACGGAGCCATGTGACAGGTATCTCAGTGACAATTATGCTAAATATGTGATAGTGTGTAATTTTTTGCCTTGTCGCAGGTATGCCAGTGGCATTTTGCCATTTAGTGGGTATGCCGATGACACTTTGCAATTTAGTGGGTATTCCAGTGACATTTTGCCATTTGGCGGGTATCTCAGTGACATTTTAACATTTCACAGTTATCTCAGAGAATGTTTTACCATTTCGCAGTTATATCGTCTCATCTTGTCATGCGACGTGTGTCCCAGGGACATTTTGACATTTGGTGGGGATTCCAGTGACATTTTGCCATCTAGCAAGTAACTAAGTGACGTATCAACAATGTTATAACTATTTGTTTCACGATATAATATTCCCGGAATTTGAATTCCGTTTGTTACAGAACATTCGTTACTAGAATAACCTATTAACAGAAGGCTAATCGCCCTCGATGCCAACAGTGCTATGACACATGAAACACAAGAACTAGGCAACATAAATTACAACATATCGTAGACATTTTTAATAATTTCATAGTCTGACCATAGTCTCTGCTCTAATGTTTTGTGAAAGGTTTTTTGTTAGTAGGCAAGTAGCAAGTGACTATGAACAAAATATGCTTGTATGTTTTGGCTATGGCGGGGTTATACGAAGAGTTATTAATGATGTAACATGTGTTACGTAAAATAAAATTATGACAGATTGACTGTAAACACAGCAAGAACACATGGAAGCCGAACTGTATGCTATATCACTGTTTATTTTGTCTGCACCTGCTGTCTGTAAACATTTTTGTATACTATTTATGTACAACTTAACATTTTGGAATGTAACATAATACCTGCTTTGGAACATGTCAGTCACTTTATCCACTTGGAAATGATCTCTGTTGTAATCTAGTTGGTTTTTAACTGCTAGAAGAGGAGCCGGCTTCCTCATTGCTTCCGACCACAATTCCTCTATGGGCCTGTTCACAACTGCGTCAATGTCCAAGTAAATAGCTCTGTTCACGTCCGGGAAGAGTCTAGTAGAAAACAGAAACAATGTCGTTGTTGAAAAAAAAGTTTTATATAACGATACACATATGCGATTTATTGATTTATATACAGTACTACAGTCGTGAGTTACATATGATACCCCTTAACAATTTTATTACCTGTAAAAATAGTTCCGGGCATAGTTACAAGTGCTTCTGAGACGATTTGTAAAAAATGAATCATCCCAAATTTTTGCCATTTCCGGATCGATATACGTCTCGTCGAAACGAACTATTTTGATCTGCAATCAAGGATTAGAAAGTCAGTGTACACGAAATGTTAGGCCTATGTGTGAATTTGCCGGTAGTGTAATTATCGGCGTATCTTGTTATATAGGCCGTCGCACTGTTACGTAATATGTTTACATTTCTGCCAACCAGCATGTACATGTGTGATAACAAATGTCACTCATTGATTAGCACAGGCTCGCAATCTGCTGTGACAACATTGACTATAAGTTGTTTTATTAACAAAAACACGTACATGAATTTTCAATAACGGAAGCAGCGAACAACGCCTTTATTTTATCTTTGGAGCGAACGACCGGTTCTTGCCAACCATTCACTGCGTACGCACGCACATGCACGCACGCACGCAAGCAATACATAAACAATTGCGACGGCCTATACTGCTTATATTGATGAAATTTATCAAATGACGGCACACTATTTTGTTGCTATCATTGATATTTTTTTATTATTTGTATTCTACAGCAAGATGTTTTATAGAGCATAGCAACATACCTACATCAAATCCATTGTTGACCTATGCATACAAATTGGCGCAATCAATGTAAACTTGTCTACAACTTTTTCTGCATTTTATCTATATTATCATGGTACCCTGAATTCGCAGGATAACAGGTTTTTAGATTCTACCATAAATTGCACTGTAGTGAAATTACGTGTACTGTCCGCTGCTTCCAAATAATACACCCAATCCTACATAATAATTAATTAAATGAGCTGAGATATCTATTTACTTGTTTTTCGTCCACTTTGATACCATAGCAACCCAGATACTGCTTCATAACAATTTCTGGTGCATCACACATTACTATATGTATCATGATATCGTCAGGGCTTTTCGAGGTTTTCAGAATTGAGTTGATTAAAGCAGGTGCTCCTTTAGAAGATAAAAATAAGTACATTTATATTTTCACAGATATGTAATATATTGTCGGGAAGTGAATGGCTGTTGGTGGTTCAGCCCACAGTTTGTTTGCGTACACCAATGTTCTTTTATTTGTTTAGATCAATATTAAATATCATGATAGTTATACAAGTAAGGCAGTAACAATGATTAAAACATGTTTTGTAAGGCTACATTGATTACTTAGAGATAAGTTCAAAATAACATCTGATTAATATTTTTGAAAGCATTGCATTGCTATGATTTCAATCTTGTGTTACATACATTTGATAAGAGTAAGGTATAGGGGCTAGTATTTTACATTGTTTCGCATTATGCAATAATGTGTTTCTTGACCTGGTCATCATTGGTTAGATACAATGTACCTTATTGTTACACATGTGAAAATGAAGTTCATTGATACAACAGTCATTAGTACTGTGATTGTTGTTGACAGAACAGATCTAATGTAGCTGAGCACTGTAGAATTTAAACTAGTAAGCTATGACCCAATATAATTGATAAGCAGTGTTGAAAAATGTTGCGCCCGCTGTCGACGGCCTACCACACAAATTGTATTATGTTAACTGGTAGCTTTGTCATTGCAGTTGAATATATTGCTGTGAAACGTGATGATCAATACTATGGGGAAAGGTGCGAGTGACAAAAGTGTGACATAAACATAAGCACACGTGTTTATTTAGTGAACGGACAGTAGTAAACTTGTATTAGTACTCCACCGCTTCATTTACCTCCACCAAGGAGATTATGTTTCCGGTAGCTTCCTGTCTGACTGACTGACATTACGGAAACAGTTATTAACGGATTTCTCTGATTGTGTTCACCAAAGGTGTGTCGTCGCCCAGGGAAACCCCATTTAAATTTGGTGGTGATCACCGTCTGAATCCCGAAAATCCCATTTTCCACAATTGGAACTAGTGCAATTGTGTATGTGTATATAACTCCATTACGAATGCGATATCAAAATTTAATTCGGATCTTGGCAAACTTCTTGATACTATGAAGAAGAACAGAAACAAATGAGGGGGGTGTCAGGCAATTTTCAAACACTGTAGTGTAAAAATGGCAGATTTTCAAGCAACGTAAGATACATGCATGCAACTTGCACCAAATTCTATCCAAAACTCCGAATCATAGATCTGCGTGTATATATCCTGAAATCGGTCACCTATTTTGACCATTGCATAAAACACTTTCAAAAGCGAAAGTGTATATTAACTATTCGTTGGAAATATTTCCTATTCTAACCATAGACACACCGCTATTATTTGCTTGACTGCATGTGCTTCAAATAGAGCAATATCACAATCAATATAATAGGGTTGTCTGATCAAAATTAACAATCAGTCACCACTTTTGAATTCTGAAAATAACATAGTATATCACACAGGTGCCTGTGAATCTGACCATTCACAATGGTGCATTCGAACATGCGATGTCACAGTATAATATAATAACATGTACATAACACGTGTAAACCAAATGTATTTAAATCATTTGATTAATAATAACACAGAGACAAAAACATGACAAATTAATTATTTTAATTTTTAAAACATGTGGTAGCAGTTTTTGTGGTATTTATTTCAGAACAATTTTGATGTTTTCATTTCAGACTAAACAGTTACGTTGACTTTGTCAACTGTATTGACAAACGGGGACTGTCATTCATACAAAAAGAGAGAGGTTTCCTGATTGGGAGATATTCTCCTGATTTGTTCACAGCTAGAACATTTAGTGTCACAAATCATTGCAATGAATACTGATAACCATTTCCGAAGATACGTCGTTCGAGGTGGCGGGACTGGCGCACAACCTAACATTTATTGCCACTCTACAATGGCCACAATCTTAGCCACAGTGTGTTTTTATCTGTCTGCTACGACTTTTCGAAAGACTAGTCGTTAAGGAAGTTCTGCATGATATAACCTACTTGATGGTCTTTATGAATGTTAAACTGCATCTACTTGTTGACCACACCGGCTGAGGAGACTCCAAAAAAGTACTAAAACCTTCAAGGCATGCTGAATACATGTACGATGACTACCTTGGTACAATGGATACAGTGTCAGTAAACAGTAAAGCTGATAATGCAAGTACAGTACAAGATAAGAAATGTCTCAATGATAGACATCCCAGCGTACCAAACTCTATATACCTGCTCAATGAAACGTGTTGATATACTCATATTACATGTTGGAAGCAATGATATAGATAACAGCAAATAGAGTGAGGATGTCATTAAAGATATCATGAAATTAGCCCATCAAAGTTAAATCAAGAGTGAATACTTCTAGTATAGTCATTATATCAAGTATACTACCTAGAATTAAATCACAAGTGGCACAAAGAAATATTATCACAGTGACAATAACCATCTCAATTGTATTGGTGCTATGGTATTAGCAGCTAACATAATTAATGTTATTAAAGATAACCCAATAATTAGAAACAACAATCTATGAGAAAGACCAAGATCACAATTGGAAAGACAGAATGTATCAAATAATGATTTGAATGTTTGTAAAAACAAACGTGATTACTGAACAAGCAACAAGGAAATATTAATGCTGAAAATGCATCTACTGAAAGCACAAATTACAACAGAGATAGCGACAACAATAACCATGCCACAGCTGAGAATTCATCAATGTATCATATATCTATGGCAAACTGTTATCAACAAAGAACGTATTCACCATGTATTTTTTTCAGCAGTGCACACACATGTGCATTGGATGTCAGCTGTACCTAATTATCTTCCTTCCCAACCATATATTACATAGGGTTAATCTATGAACATATTCAAGCAATTAAAAACTGCTTTTTGAAATCAACATGGCTTAAATTCTATTATAGATGATAGTGACTACATTGAGTTTGTTAAAAACATGATAGTCGGTGAGTTAGTGTACCAGAGGGCTATTTGTACTTTAGAATGCTAGGAAATATTTTGGTGGTATAATTATTATGTTCAAGTCTATATTAAGTAAAGGCCTAACAAAAATCATAAGTCCGTATGGATGAAAATTGATAAATATTTGTTTGGCTTAAACAAAGATCTCTTTTTATGTAGGCTATATATCCCACCATCTCAGGTGAAAATATGTTTGATATTTTCCCTGAAGAATCCCTGCATTTTGCAAATCAAGGGAATGTATGCATACTTGGAGACTTAAATTCAACAACTGTTGAACAATTTGTTACAATATGAGCATTAGAGATCCAAGTCCCGTACATTCAGGTGAACAGTGATAAAAACAATCAATAAACTTCGAAGGTAATAAATAAATGCAATAATTATGTAATCTTTATCTTACTACAGACATAATTGCTAAAGATCGAATAGTAGGTGACCTGAAAGGCAAAGTGACATGTTATCAATATAATGGCGTCAGCCAGGTTGAGTATTTGATTGTACAAAAATAATTCTATTTTTCGGTTAGATATTTTAGAGTTAATAATCAAACCTTTCATCAGATCATTGTGCTTTGTCTTTAGCTATTAATGTAATTATAATAATGAGTTCTGATGATCCCTTACAAAAAATACATTTTGGGATATTTCATCAAAGTCCAAATTTATGTCACAGATCAGTTCCATTGAGTTAACCGAAAAAAAATGACACTCAGAACATGGTAACATAATCTATTCAGCAGTAGACAGGGTGCTGAAATTTATTACAATCAATAATAGAAAATCAGATAAGAGTAAAAAATCTAAATAAGACCAAAACAGAAATGATTTAGGTTGTGTTAGAAACAACCTAAAAGACATTTCAAAGAAAGTAAACAAATTTCCTTCTTAAAATGCTGCGCCAAGGGCTAAATAAATAATACAGAATGGTAATTAAACAAAAGAAAAAAAAATCGATTAAAGAAAAACTATTGAAAACTTTTGACAAATTTAAAAGGCAATAATCCAGCATGTTTTTGGAATGCATTTAACAAAATGAAGGAATTTAACACAATCACTATCAGTCCGCTCATCATAACGGATTGAAAATTGTTTCAATATAAATTCAAATGCTATTAATTAGAATTCAGCCACTGATCAAGCGGCAAAAGAAACAATCAATGAATATGTTATTATATCAATTGCTAATGCTTATCTTGACTCATCAGTGTACAGTGAACAAGAAATAAATAGTGTTCATAGGAAAATCATTGATAAATAAAATTCAGCGAAGCAAGTAAATCTCGTCTATATGCTTGATTTGTTTATCTGCGCGAAATTTTTGATAGTGTTTGGCGAGATAACATGCTATACAAATTCCTGAAGTCTGGAGTAACAGAAAACGTGTTCCACTTGATAAGATTCTGTATTCTGTAACCAATTGTGAAATCAAAACTGCTCATGGTTGCACCAATTCATTCTCGTCATCTTGTGGAGTGAAACAAGGGTGCAATTTATAGTCCCCTTTTATTCAACATATGTATCAACGATCTTTTCGTTCCAGATTAGAGAATGTTATTTTGGTGATATTGTTGAATTCAAGTAATGGGCTTCAAAATAGTCAACATATCTTATAATACAAAAAAAACATAGTAGAGACAACTTATTGATGGGGATTTTTATTTGAAGAACAATTAAATTCAGGTTGTTAATTCATATAATCATCTTGTAATTGTCTTTCAAAGTAGTGGCCAATTTCAAACTAGCAATAGAAAATTTAGTGATCAAGGCACAACGGGCAATAGGTGTTCACAAACAGACATTCAATTTACTTCAACCATACTGCAACAAGGACTGAACTTGGACGATACCCACTTATCATTGATATTTGCAGCCAGATAATTAGGTACCATGACAGATTTCAATAATGAGTGCCTACAGCAATACAAGTAAAACTACATGCAATACATAGGCAATACAATTTAGACTTGAACTACATAAAATTACTGAAACCATTAAGAGCCATCATAATGACAGTTTTGAGAATAAACTGAAGCAACAATTTATGAAAGATTTATGGCCACCCAGTTTACATAAAAAAGAAAATAATAAACTATGTACATATAACAATTTCCAATACTCTTTGAAACCATATTTAGACTATGTACATAATGTTGAACACAGAATTGCCATCACTAAGTTCAGAATTTCTGCACATAAACTATCAATAGAGAAATTAAGATATTTACAATTACAATCAGAGAAAAGGTTATGCATGCTATGTGATGATCTAGCTGTTGGCAATGAGATGCATGCTCACTTAGATTGCAAGAACCAAGAGATGGAAACTGATAGGTGCCAATTTTTGGGAAGAATCTCAATGCACAATGAACAATTTGAGAATTTGCCTAAGCAGATTATGTTTAAGAAACAGCTGAATTCAAAAGATAGTTTCAGTCTTGGAGTCTTTATTTATAAAATCTTAGAAATGTATGCTACATGTATTGTTAAATGTTTTCTTGTTTTATTTATTATTGTTGTCTGTGACAGTGTTTGCTTTTTTGTTCGAGTGGCCACAGTGCGTGTATACGTTCAACAGTGTGAGATATACTAGCATGTCTTATAATAAACCCTTCGTAAAACATAAAACGTAAATTTTGAACATAATATAAACTAGACTACGCACATATACTTTATTGGAAGTTTAAAGTTAACTCTGACCTTTGTTTCAACATGTGTGGCATGATGATATATATTAACCACAGCTGTTGGCGTCTAAAATCTCTTGTACATTGAATACACGCACTGGCAACACATACACATGACAAAGCAAGTGATAACAATTAAAGTACAAATGTAAATTATTATCAGTATGGAGGGGCGAACCAATATTTGTACTGGACTGACTTGTCTAGAAAATAAAGAAGACCAAATAATCGACGTATATCGATTTATCAGCATACAGCTCACTTTGGTGGTGAAGTGGATATTATTATTTAGCACGTCTACAGATATGTTCTACTAGAAACCCCGGTATGATTAATGTAACACCCGTACAATTATTGGCCCAAGCCAGCACGAGTAATGGTCCACCTAAGTGCGATTAATAGACCATCCAGCACATTTATTTTTCCACTTCTTATTAATCATATTAACGGCTGGAATACTACACAACACGCACAATATAATATCACAATATCGTACAGACAATATCATATCATTGGAAACCATTCCGTTTACATATCCTTCATGTGTCTATTTAGCATAATTGTGAAATAAATCTGCAGTGAAAACTGCACCAAGTGTTACAGAACACAGATCCAGTCACTAGTAACTTTACCCCCCCCCCCCACAATACATTGAAATGCAATACAGTATCCAGTAACGAGGTCAAAATCATATTTATACCAGTATATGGATGGGAAATACAACAAGCTTTCAATCACTTAAAACAACCGCTTATGATGCCAACGGATGATATATTTTGCTAAATACACCTAGACAGATATGATGTTAGCACGTTTATAAATATTTTACTTTTTTAAAAATCTTTTTGTATGTTAGGATTATATTATTACGTGAAACTATTTTCTCTTTTCCGGGCCCTGGGTGATACAATTCTACTACGCCGGGTTTAGAATAATAGTATTAAATCACCACGGTTACCAGATATGTGCATATACAATTATTGGGGTAAGTATTCAGGGCTATTCACTTCGCATATAGTCCCAATCATAACAATTACGCAGATAATTCCAATTACAAAACAGTATACGTTTAACTACATGTGCATGTGTTACCTACCTTTGATATGTCCGCTATCTGTAGCAGTTATGATGTTAATCCGATCTTGTAGGCTACCCACGTTACCTACCCCGTCCATTTCACGGATCGGCACTATTTCGTAACCTAGTTTCGTTAACAACATGAAACTAGTCACAATAAATCCGTAGAACGCAATAAACATGATGACCCCTTTAACAGTCTGGCGAAGCCGTAATTTGGCCATCGTTAGAATAAATAGTGTTTAAAATAACATAGAACTAATAGTTCGGCGATAGGAACACAGTATACTAATATAGCTTACATTGTCGCCGTCATCTGACCCCGAGTACGTGGTCCGTCATCTAAATTGTACTAGCTTATATTAAATATGCTACCATGCGCATAATCCAAGCTACAGCTGCACTTCTGTACAAGGAGAGTATCAATTGAGGCTGTATATTCATATTATCGTTTATTCTGCTTGTTTATATGTGAATCCAGCCGGTTTAGAAATACTGGAGCGTTTTAATTATTGAATATAATTGAAATTATTACATAATTGTACTATTAAAAAATGTGTCAAACAAAACGCAACCAATTATTATAAATAATCGAATCATGCATGAATGTTTTTTTCTGTTGTTACATACTATAACTGTGTATATAGACGACTAACAGTTAATCCTACACACCATAAATAGTGTCTGTGTAATTCTGAATAATCAATGAGTAACCTAATTAAATAGACGTAAAGGTCGGCGTGTGATTATTGATATGTGTCTAGTTGATAGATGTGGTACCATACATTGTACATGGGTGCGATCATTGAATTGAAACAATTAAAAAACAACTTATATATTGAAATGAATCATTGTTTGACGCTAACATCATTACGAAAGTAATATTCATAATTCAAATAGTTTTAGGGTCTAATATGTGTTTTTAATTATTTGTTTATTAAACTAGAGCCAACAGACTTTACAGGCTTGCACAATAAAATATTTCACAAATAAAACATTTATCAAATATTAAAAATCACAAATATCACAAATTACTTTCTAAAAACGCGACTACATTGATTTTAAAACTATTAAAATTGATAAAATTATCAATTGTGCCATTATTTTACATTGTATTAAAAAGAGAAAGTACACGAGGAAAGTATGAACATTTTATTCGACATCTTGCGACAGGGAAAAGTGAGTGCAACATGTAAAGGCATTTCCGATAAAATGTAGGAGCAAGCGTAATAAAAATGAAAGGATTTGTGTAAAGAATACAGGTCAAGAAATGTTCGACGTATTTCTAAAGGAGGTAAGTTGAAATGGTTGCGGAGTGATAGAGAATATTTTGAAGAATATACTATATTTGATCTTATACACACAAATATGAATTTTATTTGAACTCGTTCAATTTTATCAACAATAAATTTTTGTGAAGGAGACCACGTCTGAGAACAGTATTCAAGGTTGCTCCTCACTAACGTTGTGTATAAGGTTATAACTACTAAAACTACACGCCGAAACTCAACTTTTAGTACAGTATATTAATTAAGAGGGTAGCACTCAATGAACTTTGATTATATACCACACAGATAAACACAACTGTTGAGATAAATTCGATTCTTATATTTTCGAGAAAAAAATGATTTGCTTTTGAATCACACGCTAACCTGACAGGAGATGGGATGTATCGCCCTATTCGAGACTTGGAGCAGTTTTGAATTAGTTATTAAATGTACTGTGACCACGTGAAAGTCGGCATATTGTCTGATGCATCCATGGTGCGCTACAAGTGCAATCTGGTAAACAATTGAAAGAAGTCAAAATAACTAATACATCCACATTATTTAATGAATATTTCTATTCAGTTTTTAACATTAAGTATATAAACAAGCTTCCAATAGTAAACACAAGTACAATGGTAAACACGGACATGGTCGCGTTATACACGGACAGTGACATGCGTTCTTCGCCGACACGTGTTGCTAGGTCGTAACACTATCTTGAAACATATTAATGGGCAATAGGGTTCCCGACCTTTCCTCAATATGAAATAATTAAATATGGAACATATGTAATAATAACAGAACCACACAACCTCCCCATGGATTTCGTTGATGTTCTGCTTTGCTCATGAACATAGAACTTGTCTAATGGGGATGTGTCCCTGAAATTAATGGGTCTGGTTTTTTGGATTTTAGGCATAAGTATCGGTCTTATTTATGGTCAAGATAGGTATTAATATCGGTAATATTTTTCCGATTTGGTACTGTTGTTTCTCATTTAACAACCTACATAACCTGGACATTGTGTTAATAATATGCTCTCATGTAAGTGACAGAGATGTTTCTACCAGGGCGTTCAATAAGTAATGCCCCTGACCCACTTCCACTTGTCTGATCTAGATGAAATTTTGCATGTGTAATGATTTACATCTCTATGGTTATGTTGCAAAAAAATGCTCTGAACTAATTGTGGTTTCTGATTTACAGGTGTTTGAACTGAGTCAGGCGTGAAATGGGACCAGTTGAGTGTCATGCAGTGATCCGGTTTTTGTATTTGAAAGGACGCACACCAAAGGAGACTTTTGAAGAAATGAAAGAAGCTTATAGTGATGATGCCCGGGGATGATGCCCCATCACATGACCTTGTAAAACGCTGGCATCGTGAATTCAAACATGGCCGGAAGTGTGTGGAAACAGCTCCCAGACCTGGTCGTCCTCCTTCTGCCATTGATGAGGCATCTGTCCGTCAAGTTGAGGCAGCCAATTTGGAAGATCGAAGCATTACTGTTCGCCAAATCGCCCAAGAGGCAAAGATTAGTACAGGGTCTGTGGAAACTATCATTCATGACCATTTGCATAAGCATAAGCATAAGCTTAATTAATTCCTTTCTCGGAATTACATTTAAAATGAAATTGGTATACTGTAAAGGGGTTAATTATTCACTGGGTTTTAATTTAGCTTATTTCGCTGACTGGAAAATGCGCTAAATTAAAACCCAGTGAATATGTAAAATTTAGCATAGAACACATTATCTAAATGACGAAACCGTGAATTTAAAACCCACTGAATATGCCTGAAATGGTAAATCAGTGAAATTTAAACCCAGTGAAAATTAGTCATTTTACAGTATTATAAAAGAAAAAAAGCCACTGCCATAATTATGTGCTCGCCTGTGGCTTGTGCATAATGAATGTGCATAATAATGTCATGAATTTTGCACAAATACTTTGTAGTATACTAGATTGTGGCGGTGGTTTGAATAAATTCAAAATTCTAAAAGTTTAATCATACAAACTTTTATGACAGTAACAAATGAGAAGTGACATTTTCCTGGCAAAAACTGCATCAATTGTGCTACATACAAAAAAAGAAACACAATTTATTTCAATAGTATTAGAGAAAACCTCACAATAAGACAACAATGAACTCTAAACAGAAGCACACTGGATTAGGAGTGGATTTTAAGTGTGATAGTGGCTTGCAGTGTTGAGAATAGAATTAACTCTGGAAAGTTATGTAATACTGTGAAAGTATTAATTATTCACTGGTTTTTTTAATTTAGCTTATTTCGCTGACTGGAAAATGAGCCAAATTAAAACCCAGTGTATATGCCTCAAATGCTAAATCAGTGAAATTAAAACCCAGTGAAAATGAGTCATTTTACTGTATCATTAATGGGTTAGTTGTGTAGCATTAGAATGGTGTATCCCTGATCATAGCAAGCACAATCTGGGCACACAAATTTAATGTGGATACATTCACAGTCAATGTATTATTCTTTATTTCACTTACATTGTTCATAATATTACGGTACATTTTTTTTTATGACAAAATGACTATAACACATGAAATGTTTGATGATTTTCCAATACCAAATTTAACTTCAAAATGTTCAGGTTCAGAGCTGATGAAATGCAAGTAATAACAGACAGTGAACATAAATTTCAGATTCTTACAGTGAAAAAAAAATTGAAAAACTATTACTACACAAATATTACACGGAATACATGTTCTTGTTCATCAAGTGTAGTTTCTTCTAACTTCCTAATACCATAACGTTGCACTAGAGCATGAAGCATTAAATGTCCACCCAGGATGCACTTGTCATTAAAGCACTTGTCACATACAGTACATTGATACAAAATGTATAGTTGCTCACCGGTATGCACTCTCATGTGCCATGTCAGGCTACCTTTGTTGGCAAAACGCTTGTCACATCTATTACAAAGGTATGGTCGTTCACCAGTATGCAATAACATGTGTATTTTCAGATTACCTGCGGTGATAAAACCTTTATCACATACATCACAATGGTATGGACGCTCACCAGTATGCTCTCTCATGTGTATTTTCAGCTTGCGAGTAGCGTTAAAACGCTCCTTGCATATCTTACATTGGTATGGTCGCTCACCAGTATGCAGTCGCATGTGTGTTTTCAGGTTGGCTGCGTTGGTAATACACATACCACATACATTACATTGGTATGGTCGCTCACCAGTATGCACTATCATGTGCTTTTTCAGGTTGCCTGTGCTGGTGAAACATGCATTGCACACTTTACATTGATAAGGTCGTTCACCAGTATGCACTCTCATGTGCGTTTTTAGGGTGCCTGTGTTGATGAAACATTTGTTGCATTCTTTACATTGATGTGGTCGCTCACCAGTATGCATCAACAGATGTGTCTTCAGGCTGGCTGCGTTACTAAAACAGTCCTCACATAAATTACAATGATAGGGTCGCTCACCGGTATGCACTCTCATGTGTGTTTTCAGGTTGCATGTGTTGGTAAAACGCACGTCACATACCTTGCATTGGTACGGTCGCTCACCGGTATGCACTCTCATGTGTCTTCTTCGGTCGCCCGTGCTGAAAAAACGTCTGTCGCAGTCTTTACATTGGTAAGGTCGCTCACCAGTGTGAACTCTCATATGCGATTTCAGGTTTCCGGTGTTAGTAAAACGTTTGTCACACTCTCTACATTTGTATGGTTGCTCACCTGTATGCAGTCGCAAGTGTGATTTCAGGCTACCTGCGCTGGATAAATGCACATCACATATTTTACATCGGTACGGTCGCTCTCCAGTATGTACTTTCATATGTGATTTCAGGTGCCCTGTCCGGCTAAAACGCTTGTCACATTCTGTACACTGAATAAGTCTTTGAAGTCCATCTTCCTCCGTAAAGCTTTCGTCACACATTCCAGAACGGTGTAGATAGACCTCAAACAAATTTCTGGTATAACACTGCTCCAATCACGGCCTACAAACAATAACTACACAGCTCGCAGTTAGCGTCAGCTTAGGCGAATATGGCGTCGTTCAAACCAAAGGTGAGAATAGCCCCTCTAGAGGGCGTCGTCTATGGCCACCAGTTGAAAGGATTACGGAGCGATATCGGCGTAAGACGTCTCTCGAAATCCACGCAAAATCTGATTAGGTCACACATACGCTATCGCTGAATGTCTGTATTATCACCCGGCAGAATCAAACAGCAGACAATTGTTTTGATTTAAAGATTTTTTTATTTTCAAAATTTCAAGTTTTTTGTGGTGTGATACTAAATAGAATCGAGTTGAAAGAATTAAGTTTCTATTACGTTTTGTTTTGTAAACTAAAGTTGTGATGCGATTAGAGGAATTAAGTTTGTATTGTAGAAGATTTTGTCTCGTAAATTAAAGTTTTATTTTTATAAATTATGTTTGTGTTGCGGAAAGTAAAGACTGATGTGACACCTCTGGGCCACCGTAAACATGTTGGTCCAGACAACAAAAGTTAGGTTTCCCACTAACTATTGTGCCCACTCCAGATACGTTCTTTTGACTGATATTATATCGTCAACATTCATTTGAGTTACACATTCTGGTTAACTACTGAGAATATCATCTAAGCTAACAGTTGATCTAACTTTACCTACACAGAACATTACACGAAGTGTCACGTGCAGATGAACCGGATGGGAAGTTGTATCACGTGAAATACCTATAAATGGCAACTTTCCGTGATAGTAATAATGATGTTATTTTTTAGATAATAATATCGATAATATCAGCCTGAGAGAGTCACGGGTATAAATGCTTGGGTTACGGAACTTTCAATATTTAATCTGTTCCAATAAATATTTCAGTACCACGACTTGATCATTTCCCGATCTGTGACCGACGACCCAAAAGCCCGAAGGCCCAGGACATTTACTTGAAATCGAGACTCCAGCATGCCGTTAACGGGCGGCAGTCGTCGTGCCGCGCCCTGTTCGATATGGGACTCATAGCGACGTATACAATGCGTGTGAAATACATTGTTTATTTACATGAAATTCGAACACGCGCTGCGCGACGACCACTGAGCTTTAACTACCGTACGCGTCCTGGTAGCCATACTTCAACTTAATATCAGTGATCAGGATAATGATTTTAACAAGTTTGGAATCATCTAACTATTTTTCGAGAAAATGATGGTTATATTTAGTGAATGGCTCGTGTCAGTATTATAGAGCTTTTACCATTAGCCATATTGTAGGTTGGTAATACAACTTCAAGGTAAACACATACGACACACGCTTTTTGTTATCCTGAATTTATTTACAAAATCTTGGTTTTAAAAAGTGGTAAACAAATTTTCAATTGTTCTAAAATCATCGTGTGCTGATGAATATTACATTTAAAAAATGCTGTTTTATGTTACCACGGAACTACAGCTCCATGATTGTACGCTAAAAAAAAATGTCATGTGATTTAAGGCTAAATTTCTTTAAAATGATTAGTAGGCTACAGATATATATCAGATATGTTTTTATATCACAATTATTTTAATTCTTTTCTTTTTTAAATTTGTGAATTATACATGCATATTCCAGAGCGTATTGCATTACCACGCTGTTAATGACACAGTCCCCGTCCCAAATTTTGTGATCTGACATATCAATTTGATGCTGATGAAGTCATTAAGATTAGATTGAAACCATTAATATCAGATGGATTTGTAAAAAAAAATTGATTTAGTGCTTTTACACGAGAATTGGACATATTGAGTCAAATTACAAAAATAATGTTCATGTTGATGTATCTATTTGTATACTGTCTTTGTACAAAATTTAAACAGAAACGTGCATTTCATTCATGGGCATTCATAGGCATGGGTATCATGAAAAACAAAATGGCCACCAGTCAGCCATATTAGTTTGAATCACAGAAAAAAATATGACATGCAACTATAACCCAATATGTATGATCGCCATACCAATTTTGATCCAAATCTGCCTAGTCATCTCCGAGAAACAGCTCTGGACATGTAAAAATTACGATTTAGCACTTTTACATGAAAATTGGGCATTGGCCGGCCATATTGAATGGAATTACAAAAAATAATGTTTATAAATAATCTTTGTACAAAATTTAAAGAGAAACTTTCATTGCAGTCAAGAGAAAGTAGCATGGGTACCATGAAAGACAAAATGGCCGCCAGTCAGCCATATTTGTTCGAATCACGATAAAAATATGAGGTGCACCTATAACCCAATATGTATGATCAACATATCAACTTTGATCTAAATTGGCCTAGTCATTTCTGAGAAACAGCCCCGGACATGTAAAAAATGACGATTTAACGCTTTTACAGGAAATTTGGGCGTCGGTCAGCCATATTGAATCGAATCACAAAAATAATGATGGTGTAGTTGTATCTCTGGGTATACTATCTTTTGTACAAAATTTAAGCATTCAAGAGAAAGTAGCATGAGTACCATGAAAAACAAAATGGCCGCCAGTCGGTCATATTTGTTTGAATCACAGAAAAAGTATTACGTGCACCAGAGGTACATTACTTGGGGTTTGCAACTACGGTGACATGATACCAATATCCCGTTTCAATCTTGCTCTCACATAAGTGTTCCAACTCAGAAAAATCGAATGCGCATGCCTGAGGTAACTAGGATACTGGGGTGTCCAGGTGGATCAAAATAGCTGCTCACGATATAACGGATTACGATAACTATATTTTCTGTACATTTTCGATGAATTACATTTTTCACTATGAATGTGGTAATACATGTTTTATTGTTTTATTACAATCGCCTATGTCATGTCAGAAGGTCGTAGCACCAGTCTCGCTATCTACGAGATGAGACTTGAATGGGATCTTAAGATAATGTCACCATACAGTACTATGCGCGATGCAAACCCCAAGTAATGTACCTCTGCGTGCACCTATAACCAAATATGTATGATCATCATACCAAGTTTTATCAAGGGCGGTAGGCAAAAGTGTAAGATAAGCTAGGATTAATATTTTAATTGTTGACTATTTATTGAATAATGACAATAAAATACATTTACTTTGACTAACTATGTCTAAATGTATCTTATATGTGTACACAATTCTGGCTGTACCATTCGCTTATATTATTTAATTCCACATTCGATTTGAAACGCATTGTATCCTTCGAGCCTTAAGTTATGAATTAGCGGCATAAGAAGTATTGGACAGAGCCACCACCGGCCATTTTTCGTTTTGGCAAATATCCAAAAGGAACGATTTCGTTTTCGGCTTCACGCTCGCGTGCACATTTTTCGTTTCCTTGGTTTCTGCCATAAAGGAGAATTATTTAACGAAACTATAATATAGTCTAAGGTTATATAGTCTATTATTATGAAAAGCGGGGGTGAAAGCGTCCTACATTCGAACGTTTTCAAAAAGCGCGCGGCCATGTCTTGTACGCGATAGATGTACGTATTCTGAAACTCAGTCTCAGTCACGGTGGGCAAGACGCAAAACCAATGCATGTACAAGTACGAGTCAAAACATGTCACCACTGACGGCAATGCTCGTAGTACTGTTTTATCATTTTTAGAATGTTACTAATAACTTATTTTATCCAAGAAGAAAAATATTCATGTATTATTTCTAGTATTGTAATTAACCCAGGAACTTTTGCCTACCGCCCTTGATCTGACCTCAGACTTGTATCCTCGGGGGCGGACATCCGGGCATTTTCTACCGCCTGGCAACTCTCGCGGTAAAAACAAAGACCAAAAACTCGCAGAAAACGGTACTTTGCGATGGTTGTTGAGAGTCCTCTGAACAGTGTAACAAGATTAGCCCTACGTGTGTAACATATATGAATTTGGTTGTTCAGGATTACTTTTAAGTTGAGTTTGTGTTGTTTTCTCGAGTTTTCACCGGCTCCACCGTCGTTCCACAGCAGCACGCATAAAGCCCATAGAAATACGTGGTACAGTGGTGCGCGTCAAGGTGCGTCTTAGCAATGTAGAACGTCCGTGACGTAGCTCCGCCACTGCCCGAGGATTACTAGTCTGAGCTTTGGCTGGTTCCCGCCTCAAGTGTCATGGCGTACCAAGCCACAAGAGGCCGGTAACTAGTAACGGTTCCGGCATTCTGATTGGTACACCACTTTCTCGTTGCTTGTTCCAATTCCCTTAGTTACCTGACGTCAGCGCTTACGCTCGTGGCCGTTCGGGGGTTTCCTTTTACTTTCGAAAGTTGGGCGAATAAAAAAAACTGTTTTTTTTTGTTATAAATTTGCATAGAACGTAACAAATCTATAAATCCAAGCAGGCAGTATGTATGAGCATGGCTTTATTGTAGTATTACAGACACGTTTACGCAGAACGGAACTTGGAATGTTTTCAAATTACGTCACTCAGTCACGTGCCTTCCGGCCGGAAAACCGGCCCAAATGGAACATATATGGCGATTACTAGTTACCTGCGTCCTACCTGCCATTCGCAAAGGACGCCGGGAACCAGCGAAGTCTGAGCTCTGACCGGTATGGAATTACCACGTAATATCGCCCTCTTGCAGTCACAAAATTTAAAACTTTTGTTTTTATTGTATTTCATCTCAGTGTTGCGCATTGTAAACACGCTGTGGATGAAGGTTTCGGCGGTACATCGAATTTAATCAGAGTAAGAAGAAAGTTCAGAATTTGACTGATGACGTATTTCCGGAATAAATTCATCACACACAACGTGACGTAATGGGATAAATCTCACCAACGTCATTAGTGCAAATGATACTATTAATAAGCTAATTATAAATTTACGGTCGGTTTCAAAAATAATTGAAAAATACTACTATTCCGGGTTGAGTGTCCCGTTTACCGCAAGTGAGCAGTTAGTGGTAAACGATGCCCGACGACCAGCGTGTTTTGTACATGTCATTAAAAGTATCAATATTGTGAAAGG